AATGTCACACAAATAACGTTTTCGCTAATAACGGTGTTTTTCAGGCACCTATTAGACGTTATTGGTGAGAGCCTACTGTATAATGATAATAATATATGAAAGACTTGAATATAACTCACCAGAAATTCATGGCAGCAAATACTATACTCAGAGGAAAAAGATCAAGAGAATCCCTGTTAAGCACATGCCATGCTCTACATATTGCCAACACAAGCAATATGTCACATCAACCTGAAACCCCACAAACTGGCACAACATTATGAACCCAAACATCACATCAATCAATATAAAGGAGGTTTAGGAAGTGAGATAGTGTAAAGGTCACCCATCACACTCTCTCACATGTGTAAAAATAACTGGCAGTGTGGGTATGCTGTGCATCCACACTTGCAGGTAAACAAAGATGTCATTAAAGCTACACAAAATTAATTGATTTTGATGATTTTTTTCTTTTTACTAATTTTTGGTTTTGAATTTTTTTTTGAATTATCCTCATTTCCATATGGACAAATTAATGTAACCCAAATACAGCGTCCATAATGAGGGTTTTTGTACTGTACTTAAGATATAGTTCAGACACAACTGTCTTAAATAAGTTCAATGAGAACAATCCTCACCAAGATAAAAGGCTCGATCTTTGCGTCCATCTCGTGTGGAAGCTAAAAGTACACAACGAAAGTCATAGGAACTGTGTACTTTTTCTTGAAGGTTGGCTATCGTCAGATCTTCTGGTGCCCGTGACATATATTCTATGAGAAAAAAGAAAAGAAAAAATTATAAATCTTCATTCATGTACAGTACTTGAAATAGATACTACTGCACTTAAAGTATTAAGAGAGTGCTACTTACATGATTTGAGGCCGATCAGTAACAAATATAGTATGCACAACATTCTGATAAATGACACGGTACAGGTATCATAACAAAACAAACATAGGCTTTTAAGAAAAATATACTGTATACAATTTCTTGGGCTAAAACACCTGAATAAATACAACTTATTGAATAAAAGTGTTAATGAATACAGTACTAAGTTTCAGCAGAGGGATGGACGGGAATCTGGTCAAGTATACAGTGTAAGGGGTAAAAATTGCCATAATACAGTAAAACCTCTTTATTTCTAACTCTGCTGTTACAAACTTAATGTAATTTGAAAAAAATACAAATCTGAACAGGTTATCTCTATTTTAAACCACTTGTCTAAGTTTGAATTATGTTACCTGTATCCTAATTCGAACATAAACAAATTTGCGCCTAAATTCCTGGCATGGGGCTGCCACTCCAAGGAAGTCAATTAGCATTCAAACACCAAGGAAAAGTCTTATCTTAACCTAATGCATATATTTATGGACAAAACATATTTACATTATTCAATTATCAATAATTAAGGATTTTAAGAACATACCTTAAGGATTAATGTACAATACTGTAAAATATTTTGTTACTTCGAATGTATTTCTAATTTATACAATAGTAAGTATGGTAATAAAACCCCCTCATATTTCAAAATATATGGGATTTTGAACCCCATTTAATTAAAAATAACAAGGCTCTACTGTAGATGTTTTTAATATCTGGCAGGCTGAACAGGGTGGACCAGGCAATTTGTACAGTAACTTGCCTACAGAGGGTTAAGAGTCCCACCCTAAATTATTCCCATTTTTCATTATTGCAAGGTCAAACTCCATTATTGCATGGTGTAAGCCCAGAAGAATTAAATATGGACCACCACATGCATTGCATTATGAAAGGTGTTTATAGGGTACAGTCCAGGGTATTTTGTATTATGACCAAAAATTTCATTATTTCCAACAGCATTATGAGCAAAAAGAGATAGGAAAGCAAAATAGATGCTGCTGCATCTGGTGGTATCAAGAAGAAAAGGTATATACAGTACTATAGTACCTTGATGCACCAAACTAATTGGGAATTGGGGCAGACCCCAGTCCAGAAAATATGAGAGTAAATAAATAAAAAGAATAAAGCAAATCTATAGGGAAGAGGTGTTTGAACATAACACTGCTTTTCTGGACTGTTTCAAGAAAATTAGTTGTTGTTATAAAGTTATTACTGCGCTTCAACATCTAAAGTATTTAAGTGCATCACAAAGTTAGTAAAATATTATTACATCAACAATAATAAAAATATGAGACAGAATTCTCTAGGTTGAAAATCATACTAAACATGGTTGTCTCTAAAGACAAAAACTCTGCATAAGTGACAAACTGACCATCCTATGAGAAATATATTTCCCATTCAACGGTTAATAAAGTCTATCATGACTTGGTGTACCACAGTCGTTACTGGGCCCTAACTGTACAATCCACCCCCTCTGTACTGTACATTAATCATCTTCAAAAATTGGGGAGGGTAGAGTGCTGACTTGCTCTTTCCAGTTGGAATCTAGTGCTAGGAGGTTCTTAAATTGAAGCGTAAGTTGGAATTCCTTACCATAATTTTCTCCTTCAATTAGTTCAATGAATTTGACTTTGGCTTCTGTGCGCTGTGGGGCTGTGCGAGTTCGGTCTGGCAACTGCCAAAGATTGAGGCACTCAAGGCGAAGTTCTGATTGCTTTGGTTCAATCATTTGTGTATCTTGACAAAACACTTGAATTTTTCGCAAGCTAATCATCTGGCGGTATCCTAATCTGCAGTGGAAGAAGAGCAATGATATGACTTAATACACAACAGAAGTTTTCTAAGCAATACTAAAATATATGTAGAATAGTAATAAGGATAAATTTTTGCTTTCATTGTTATAACTTAAACGGAATTAGTTCATGCAGTACATGGCTAAACCTCCTGTTTCACAAAGATGTCTCTTATTATCAAAACACAACCAAATTGTAATTAAATTAGGTAAGGTTAAGTTAGTTTAGTATTGGTTAAGTTAGCATTAATGCTCTTCATTTATAGTTTGTATTCTGATTATTTACTTGATCATCCTTCTATAAAGCCTTGTTCTAATTTTCAGAGAAAAAACAAAAAGTGTGTTGCTTTTGATTCCAACCACTCTACAAGAAAAAGATTATGAAATTTAAAATGTCTAAGTTAAACTTACAAAGGAAATATATAATTAAGCAAACACTTACTCATTATTTGATCTATAAATGTAATCAAAGAATTCTTGCTCAGCTTTGAGGTGCTCCAGGGCTACAAGTTCTGAGACATCCATGGGTGAATTACTCAAACCTATTAACCTCTCATTCATTTCAAGGAGATATTTATAGACATCCTCTGTGCTTTCCCTCTTCCATTTACAAATAATGTATCTGAAAAAAAAAAATTACAATCAATAAATCAATATAAAACTGTTTTCCAATTTTTACAATGAGACATTACAAAAAATGGCAACAAAATAAGACGATACATTTAAAACTTGATGGACAAGTATAATTTCTGTAAATGATGAGCTTCACAGATGGTGCACGCTCTATACCCAATAACCCCTAAAGGCCTTACATGATTATTATTTTCCAATAAGAAACGTCCTGTATGGGCTAAGACAAGTATGATCGTCCTTCCCTAAAGCACCCCAAATTAGTTATGGAATGTTTGAGAACCATCTAGGTACAGCATACCCTTTATGTTCGCGGGGATTTGGGCCTCAAAATGACCGCAAATAGTCAAATCTGCAAATATCATTTGCTAAGAGAGAGAGATTTTTACTTATGCGCAAAGAAATGTATACTGTGTTCCCTTATGTGTTTGCCCTTAGGACAATTATTTATTTTACCTGATTTTGGCCGACCAGGGGAAGGACTTGTGATCTTCTAAAGAGTTAAAGATTACAGTGTAATTCCTTATATTTAAACTCATCAGGACCAATGATGGTTAGAATACCAAGAAAAATGCCTCCAAGAACATGCAATGATTAATGTTAGGTCAAAATTCAGCTTAGTGATAGCATGACTCATTGGGAAGGGGAAAAAACTGGGGATGAAGTGGCCTGTGAGATGGCATATTGCCATTGTTCTTGTAATGAAATTACAAAAGTTGTGGAATACTCATTACAATACTCTAATATGGCTCAGAAATAAATTAAATATAATATACTGTATAACTATAAAATAAGAAAAATGAAGAGTATGGGTGTGTATGCTGGGGAAGTGAATGTATGGGTGGGCTTGTGACTCCAGTGGTTTGTAACTGCATTGACGACTTGCCACCCATATGGCCTACACTCCCTTCCCCTGATGTGATGACACGGCATACACACGTCTCGCAGTCAGCTGGGTGACTGCCGGGCTGAACTGTGTCACATCGCACAGAGGATGGTTCGAGTGTGGAAGGAGCAAATTTGTTTACATGAAATATGTGCTATTTTATGATATGCTATGTATCAATTTTATTGTTTATCATAGCATGTAATTAGAGCCAACACCTTCTACCAACCAAAAAGTCTGGCACACTTGAATGTCGGCTCACAGATAAGTAAGTAGGTTACACCACACCTCCTGTTCACACGCTCTGATCAAAACAAACCACCCTGCTTGCTGACGTCATTAAGATGGTTGCCCAGATTGACTATGCGGTACTGATCGTTATTGTGTTGAAATGTATCATTAATATATTGAGGTGTCGCATTTCATTACTGTCGTTATTGTGATGAATCGTTAATGTGACTCATTAAAGTGAAGTATGTACTGTAATACAGATACATCAAAAATACAATAACACATAGATACAGTATTGTCCAAACCTAGTTCTATATTACATAGGCAGCTAAATTTGTTCTCATAATGTCAAGTGGGTTATGCCAATACAGTATGTCAACATGAAGACAGGCAGGCGCTGAGCTGGCTGTGACCACACTTTGTAAACAAAGAACCAGGAATTTAATACTACACAATAACTCATCTGGGTTGAGCTTGGATTTTTATTAATTTTTTTAACTTATTACGTAACAATAATGTTTTCTTAACCTAGTACCAAATGTACCTAAATAATATGGGTATTATGGTAAAATTAAATAACGTTGTATTAATGAGGTTAGAGGTGTGCACTCAGCTCAAGAACGGGGGGAGGGGGAGTAGTCAAGGGGGTAAGAGAGGAAACACTTAGTCCATATTTTATGGTTTTATATAATATTTTCTTTATTTCTAAGTCACATTGGGGTATTGAAATGTTATTCATATTATATTTTCTTTATATCCAAGGTAAATTACAGCAATGAAATGATACCTCCACAACTTTTATGGTTTCTTTATGTAATCAAATACCGAGTCAGTTGGTGCTCGTTGCTAATTAGGAATATTTGACCGCAAAATTTAGAAGAGGTAATAGAGCTACAGTCCTCTGCAGTTCTGCCTGCAACAGGGGGTACAGCATTTGGAGAGATGTGGTACCACTGTGTTTGTTTACATTCCAGGTAATTACGTGAATGAACTGGAGCAACCCTGCAATTGTGGCCTGGCTAGGGATTTTAAAATAAAAGTCAATCTTCATCTCTGAATGCAGACATTTCTAGTCTGATCCTGGTTTTATACAGAGTATCACATCAGATGCTATTTATCTGCTTACTGTCTGAAGGACAGTGGCGTTGTGAAATGACGCAGAGAAAAGGGGGTTGGAAGTAGGGAGGAGGGAGAATAATGTACTGTATTGACACTATCATACTGTATCTGGTTAGTAAATCATACTTAATCTTGATTTTATTCAATACTCTCACAGTCACAAAATTTCCAGTCGGTTAAGCTTCGGACATCTGAAGCGCTTCCATTGATTCATTAGACCGAACACCATGTGTTAAAAATTCATACACTTCATATTTGGCAATTTTTCTGACAAAAAAGTGCGTCTTACATGCCATAAAATACGGAACAGCATGCCTTTAAAATTCACGGGGGTTGATTCTCAAAATGGCCGCGAATAGCCAAATCTGTGAATGACATTTGCTGACCAGGGGATAGGGGGTGGTTACATTTTTACTCATGTGCAAAGAAATTCATATTCCCTTTAAGTGCGTGTCCTTAGGACAATTATTTATTTTACCTGTATTGTATATATATATATGTGTGTGTGTGTGTGTGTAGACACACACAGACACTGAAAACACACACAAATAAATAATAATGGGGAAATCCTGTCACAAATAATCAGAAACAAGACAACAAAATGTAGAAAAAATGTGAGTCTACCCTCAAATCAACTCCGTACTTTGTTATTAAAGTTAACTTTATTATTTGTGACAGGATTTTCCCATTATTATTTATTTGAATGTTTTGTGTGTCTGTGTGTGTCTACAAACACACACACACATATATACAATACAGGTAAAAGAAATAATTGTCCTAAGGACAAACACACAAAAGGAATATAAATTTCTTTGCACATGAGTAAAATGTAACCCCCCCTACCCCCTGGTCAGCAAATGTTATTCACAGATTTGGCTATTCGCAGCCATTTTGAGAATCAAACCCCAGTGAATTTTAAGGGCATGCTGTTCCATATTTTATAGCATACAAGATGCAGCTTTTGTCAGAAAATGGCTATAAAAATCAGCCTGCGTCCTATATGTGAAGTTGCATTCTCCCGCAAGCTAATGAATCCCCCCGTTGCTGTTTCCAGTAGGCTAAATTCTACCTAACCCAACTCCAGAATAAAAAATAAGTTATTGCTTACTTAAACATTATTATTACTCTTAATTAATTAAAAAGATAATTATTGTAAATATAAAAGGTCGATCTATAACTACTCTGTATACTGTGCTGAAGACGATAACCTGAGACGATTAACGTCCATACGGCAGACACCCAACTCTTTAAAGGTAGCTAAGCAGTAACCATTTCTGAACTCTTACAAGCATTACAATTATTAATGCCATACCTGCAACATTTATTTTTCAATCTACAAATACCTGATACAAATGAAGATTTACAGGTAATGTTCTTTTCACACATACATCTGTTAACATCGCCGACATGGCATTGTAGCCAGGTTAGACTCGTCTCTGTAACCACCAGGCTACTGGGCCAAGCTGTTGTTTTTCAACTTGTATTTTCGTAACTTTCTTAATTTATTATTTTTTGATATACATTCACAAACCATTCTACAAACATATTGTGAAAAAAGTAAAAGAAATAATTGTTCTAAGGGCAAACACATAAAAGAAATCTACATTTCATTGTACACGAGTTAGCTGGCTTAGTGGGGGAGTGGGAGGATAGCTGAGCAGTTGGTGGTGGGAGGGAGAGCATTGCAAGGGAATTGGCGGAGGTAGCGTCGCCGTTGCTGTGGTGAACTGGGAGTACAGATGTACAGTACAGTATATGCAAATGGCGAATGTGTTAAAGTTTCATTTGGCTTTTATTTACTGGTTTGGCAATACAGTATAATTTTTTGTATTTATTGGTATTGTTTTTATTTATTCCTGTATATATTGTTTTAAGAAAACTATGGTTACGGGAGGAAAATACACAAAAGCTTTTCCTAAATACTCCCTCCTAAAATGGGGCGGTGCCTCTCATATGCCATAAAATATGGTAATTTATTTTCTATACTTCCACGCCAGTGACACAGATGAGTGGGGGGGGGGGGGGTCGAAGGGATCAATTAATCCCCCATTAGTAAGAACAATCTCTCTATATTATTCTCATTCTCCTCTTGTGTTAAAAAATTAATTGTTTTTTCCTTATTTGACCTAAGAATACTGTATACTTTAATACCCAGTGCATACAGCCTCAAAATGTCCCCGAGATTGGTCATGGTATTTCAAACCCCCCAGCTGTATAGGCTCACTTCACTCACCATCCCCATCCCTTGTGCCCACCCAATATCAAAATTGTTTCAGTGTCACTGTTGTTTCCCCCCCTTGTAGTGCAGTGGTTTGCTGGATTAGCACTATTAAGTAAAATAGAAATATAATTTCATATTCACAATATCATAGAAATGCCTGCATTCAAATTTGAAGATTTATTTCTATTTTAAGTCTTTAGCCAGGCCATAAATGCGTAGTTACTCTAGTTTATTCACTTAATTACCTGGGATGTTAACAAACACAATGGTGCCACATCTCTCCAAACGCTCTAGCCCCTGTTGCACGCGGAACTGCAGTGGACTGTACCTGCAAATTTAAGAGCGCAAATTTGTACAGTATTTCACGAATAATCGTGACACCACTGCATAAAACACCATTTTTTTTAAATGAGTCTCAGTATACATAAAAAAAAAGGGTGAAAATTCACCTTCCAAAGGTACCAACAAAAAATCTTTAAGGTAACTAATAAGCTGAAATAGTTTAGAAAAGGCAGCAAAAAAAAAAAAACCAGATTTTATCCATATCATTTATACTCACTATTTCATTCTGAGTCATTTATCCTTTTACTGTACTGTACAGTTATCCCTCACCAACAACAGTTTTGAGCATCCACATTTTATATTTGGTACACCATTTTATCAACTACGGTATCCAACTTTGAATATACTGTAGTGGACTCGCAATAATTCGTGAAATACAAATTTGCATTCTTAAATTCACAGGCACCTCAATTACTACCTCTTTTTTAAATTTCATGGTCAAATATTCATAATTTGGATCCGAACACCAGCTGCTCCAGTGTTTATTTACATAAGAAACCATAAAAGTTGCGGATATATCATTTCATTGACACACCCTGTAATTTGACTTAGAAATAAAGAATATATAATAAAGGTTGAACCTCTCCAATCCAGCACCCTCGGAACCTGACCATAGAATTTTCTGACCCACAGGTGGTGAATATATTACCATACCCAAAATTATACAAGTTCGTGCACACAATGCTGCCTCTGCTTACCTCATAGCTGCTTCCCCCTCTCCTTCCCAAGCCTGTCAGTGCCTGACCCTGTCCATGAACATCCTAAACACAGATGTCCTCATATAGTCATATTTCTTTCAGTCATAAAGAACAGGTTTATGGGTATTGGACATCAACATGGTGTGAAAAAAAAATAATAATAATTCACGGTGGTGCTGTACCATCGTCTTAACACCAATTTTGCAGTCCAAATCATCATCAATCATCATCATTACTCCAGACTCCTGTACCATGAACACCCTGTGCACATGTTGGCAATGTATTTCAATCCGATATACATGTAACATTCCTCATGGTCTCTAAGTACTTCTCTATGCTAATGACTAACTAATTTGTCAGTGTCATTACTGATGAAGCTCACACACATGCTATCATATCAGAATTTACTCAGCGAATCTACCAGTTCTTCAACCTCACCCTCAACCTCTGGGTGTCAAGGAAACACTACTGCAGTGAGGGGTCTTTCTGCACAATGTGTCACTGGAATTGTCAGATACTTTCTCTACAACAGAAAATGTTACTGGTGGAGGAAGAAACCAACAATGGGAAGGAAATGTTACCATGAGTCACAATAAATCACTTGAGCAGAAATCAGGTGCCAAACTTAAAAACTATGTACAGGTATATATATCTTATATATCACATATTTTATATATAAGTACTGTATTGTAACTGATGCATTCGACTCACCTTGGGGAAAGTAAATAAAGTGTGTAAGATGAATAGCAGAACCAATTAAAGGATAAACAATAACACATTTATTCAGTAATGTTTCAACAATACTGTACAGGATCTCTTATCATCATCATCAGACCAAAACACATTTTTGGTTTGATGATATGGTATATTGTTGAAAGGTTCTCAAATAAATATGTTGCTATTTATCCATAAATTGGTGTTATTATTCACCCTAATATATATTGAATGTACTTAAAGACAACTGGGAATTGCAAGAGAAATTTCAGAAATACATGGCCTTCCAAAGACTCAACCCTTACTTTGATTAAATAAAAAACTTACCTCTCTGAATTAGCAGGTCGGCTTGTGTTGGGCTTATGTATAGTGACATACTTAAAGCAGCGGTACATCAGGTACACGAGGCCGACACTGAATGTTGTAAACACATCAAATAGCTTACACACAAAATGACCATCTGAAATGAGAATTCAATCTGAACATATGCACAAAAATTTATGTAATGAATTAGACATATTGTAATCATTATAGTGAATTAAATTCATTAACCAACACTAAAACTGTACTGTACAAGGCAAGAAGCAACTAGAGTAAAACCTTGCCTAAAGGTAAAAATTTACAAAACCAATGATTTTTCTTAACTAAACAAGTGGCATTACTAACTCTCAACCTGGTACCTACCCCCATGGTATATAGGAGCCCCTACCTGGTACCTACCTCCAAGGTCCATGGGACATGTGAGCCTTATTCACTTCTGCTGTGCAACACACCTCTATAGATTTTCAGTTTATATCACTATATTTTCTTGTACAATATCTTTTTTTTTAATTTATGCAAATAAATGCTAAATATAAACTATATATACACTCGAACCTTGCTAATTCAACACCCTTGGGGCTTTATCCCATTCAAATTACTCATAGAATATGAATTCACCACTTACTGGGTCGGTCATGTCTCTGTTATGCATTGTTGCCAAGTACTGGGCATGCAGTATATTGGTTACAGAATGTTTCTGAACCTGCACCAGAGATGGTCAAGTCTGGTCTTAAATGATTCACACCTGGTGCCGTCACAACACTCTCTGGCAATTTTCTGAACTTTTGGCTTCTTTAACCTGGGGCTGTGACCACTAATGTGGTGAACATCCAGTAGTTTCTTTGAATTCCTCACACATCAAAACCTAACTCTAGACCTCAAATTAATTTTCCTATGATAAATAGGAATAAAATAATAACCCTTTTAATGTTTTCCTAAAACATGAGAATTGCAGTAGTTGCCATCATTGAATTTCAGTTTTCTTTAAGTGAGATTAATAGGGACTTTCCTCCATGGTGTTATGTAGACATCAAAATAAATTTCCTAAGATAATCAGCGTTCAACATTTTTTATCAAGGTTTAAGAATAATGGTCCTGTTCTGTTATTCTGAATTCACACTTGATCATATTTTGAAGCACTGTACAGTACAGTGAACCCTCGAAGATCTGGACTAAAATGGGGAACCACCTGTCCGGAAAAGCCGATTGTCCAAATCTTCCGGCGAATGTACAAAATGTATAAAAAACGATAAATAATAATATAAAAAACACCAAAAATACAGTACATATTATCCTGACTACTGGGGTTAGTTATAGAGACTTTATCCCGTGAAAAAGCCACAATTTTGAGCAACATATTACTGTATTCATTTGTACTCGATGTACTACACTAAAGGACTACAACTTTTATCTTTTTTTGCAAAATATGTAATGTTTATACTAAAATTATTTGCTATCTTGCAAGGATTCCAGCAATGCAAGTTATATTCTGCTAATTTTAATCTGTGACATTTACTAAGATAAAAACTTTAAGCCTAAAACTACCTTCACCCTGTTTTGGGAATGCTTCATAGCCCAGAACCACCCCTTTTTTTTGTCTGAATATTCCGAAATCTAGATTTACCGGGTCCGGATTTTCGAAGGTTTATTGTACAGTAGGATCACCACTTTCGAAGTACGTACAGTACAATATCATTCTTTACCTCGGAACTGCTCACCCCTTTCACGTCAGATAAGCTTATATATGGCCGTGAGCATCTTGCTGGTGATGCCGTGGCAGCCATGTTGATGATATTAGTGGCATCCCTAATGCTAGTGCTAGTGGTTGCTAGCTCTGACTCTTACATAATCAGCTATTGCGATGACTTCAGCAGTGTGAGGATGAGTGATGCACCTCCAAGTAGTTCTGTGGGCAGTTAGAGACCCATAAAAGACTAAAGTGAAAGAGGGAAGAAGCCACCATCTACCAAGCAGGAGTACAGGAAGGGACTTAAAAAAAAAGTACACCTTGGAAGACAAACTGACAATTATGGACCTAAATAGAAGTGGTGCACGTAATGCTGATAGATGCAAGTGTTTCAACTGCCCTGAATCTATAGTTTGTTTTATGAGGAAGCAACGTGAGTTCCTGCCTGCCTGCCACTCGGATGCTTTTGCTAGATATGCTGGTAACCCTGGATTAACTCTTAACAACGAGAGGAATCAACTGTTGGCGATCATGGAGCACTTTCCTCAGGAATGGGTTAAGAGAAGGGACCGTGAGAGAGTCAGCTTGTATGGACCATAGATTCACCACCTACTATGCCACTGTTGCATGCAAGAAGAGTCACCAACCCTCCACCTTTCAAAGCTTCAAGATGGCTGACTTAATGCATTTAAAAGAAGGTACGAGGTCAAGTTCCCTGGTTACCAAGGGGAAGTGACTCAACTGACACCCAGGCAGCCCACGACTACCCCAACATCTTGAAGGCAATCATTGAGGAAGTTTACAGCAGTGAACAGTTTTTACTGTGATGAGATTACTGGTATGGAAACATTTCCCCAAATCTACATTCATCTGCTTGGAGGGGCATCAGGCAAGAGGCGTGAAGCCACGAAAGGAGTGGCTGACGGTCATGTTCACCTGTAACTCAACAGGTGATTGCAAAATGAAACCGTTAGTTGTTAGCCATGCTAAAAGACCCAGGCCTTACAAGGTACGCAAACCTGGATCGTCACGACATCCACTGGAAAAGAAATGCCAAAGTTCGTCTGAGAAAATTCAAGAATATCATCTGATTGGATTGACAAACATTTTGTGCCCGGTGCTGAACATTACTTCTGGGTGAAGAACTTGTCATTTAATGTAATCCTGTTAATGGTCAATGCCCCAGGGCACTCCAAGTTCTTAGTAGGCCATCACCCGAACATATAGGTGATGTTCCTACCACCATACACCACCGCCTTGATACAGTCATTAAACCAAAAAATCATATGCATTGTAAAATTTCTGTTACTACAAGCACCTTAAGAATGATATGAGAAGACAGACAGACAGACAGACAGACTCGCAGGAGGAGAAACAGAGGATCTAGGAGGAGCTGAGTGACAGTAACAATGAGCCACATGCACCACTTGCTGACCCTCGTCCCAGCACCGCCACACAAGACAATGAAGTAGCTGAGGACGACCCAGCACCCTCCACCACCAGTCACCCCTGCACCCCCCCACATCAACACCCTCCTGTGAAGTGATAACAGTGTGATAATTATGGAAAAATTTTAAAATTAAAAATGCAGTGGATAGGATGGTAGCCACATCGAATGACACTAGCCAAGCAACAATTCTCCACGCTTGGAAACCGTTGTTCCCAGAAACAGTGGTGGGCGAGGACAGGCAGACAGGTGAGTGCATGTTACAAGCCACAGTGGACGCAAATTGGTCAGTCAAAGCACTGCACTTTGCGGAGCTTACAACTGCAAATAAAAAAAAAAATCACTCAGCCATCATGAAAATTAATAACACAACATACCTGTTCTCACTATTCCCAAAGCAACCAAGAACTGGCACAGATATAGTTGTTTTGATAATATCTCTTGTATGTTCTCCTGGCCCTCCACACTGAACCCTCCATCTGCCATCATGAAGTGGATGCCCTGGCCTTTGGTTGACTTTTGTACAAAGTCAACAAAGTTTTTTATATTATCAGGATTGTAGATATCTCCATCACCATCACATCCATTCGTACCTTTAGTGGATTTTAAAATTTAATAATTAAAAATTCATTGTACATTGGAAAGAAACTGAAAAGTATTAAGCTTACCAGAATGTCATGTTTCTTCTACACTTTTGTATGAAGTTTGAAATTTACAGCTACTACAATGATTGGTAATATGTACAGTACAGGACTGTTCATGAAGTCTCCAAAGCAGTCCACTTCCACCTCTTTCATCCAATTGCACTTTTAACAAAAATTTTCCCCAATTATATATCATACATAAATAATAAAAATTTCATTTTAACAGTAGAACCTCGATAAATTGGACTAATTGGGGCAGACCCCAGTCCGAAAAATGCCAAAGTCCAAAAAAAGCGAATACAGTATATGGGGCGGAGGGTGGAGATAACACTGCTTATCTGAACTGTTTACAGAAAATCAGTTGCTGTTAAGCTATTACTGCACTTCAATGACTAAGGTCTTAAGTGTATAACAATGTTATTAATAGAATATTACATGAAGAATAAAAAAAAAAAAATGAAGCAGAACTCTCTGAGTTGAAAATCACACTTAAATCTGGTTGTCAACAACTGTATTCACCGATATGATTGTTATTACTGTAAAGTGTAATATGTAAGCAACCACAGAATTTGTCTTATGAATGAAGAGAAAACTGTATACTGTACAGTACTATAATAATAAAAATAAGAACAAATAAGTGTAGGAGTATATTGTATGTGGAAGACGAGTGTTTATCTACGAGCAGCTGGCAAAGGGGAGGGGAAGGGGGATAGCACAGGTGGGTGGCTCCCAACCCCAAAGATTGCTTTAACACTTCTTTATGCATTTTTGCCATAATTCTCATATAATTTAGATTCATTTGGTAGCAAATTGATAAAATACTGTAAAAAAAGAATCAGCTTTCTCGAAAAAAGAATCTCACACTGAACCCCATTAGTCATTTGTTTACAAAGGGCAAACAGCTGATTGGCTTACCACAATGTCTGTGTTTAACACTTAGTAAATTAGTACAGTACAGTCATGTATTTATCATCACTTAATAAATACAGGTTGGGTATTCCTTATCCAAAATTCCCTGAAATCCGAAAGTCTATTTCATTATATTTATGGTAGATAATTCACTAAATATGGCAAATATAATTTTTTTACTAGAATAAGTATGTAGGTGTAATGAATAAAGGTAAGACACAGGCTGCTTAGCACCTCAGAGTCATGCGTCATGGTGATGCCAACAGACGGTTGTGATTGCTTACCTTTCTGGGTCTTTAGTGTACATTTTATCATATATTCTATACCCCAAATTATTAACCCTTAGGCCTCGGGTGACGTTCCAGAACGTCCGCCTATTTTCCCGATATTTTTGTATTTATTTTTATTATTATTATTTTTGGAAAACTTTATTATTTTCTCGATTTATCCCCGCAGAGGGGGGGGCAGTGAAAGGGTTAAATTATATTTCATAAAACTACCTGCAGAATATATGTATCCAAATGCTGTAAATGAAATATAAATAAATTTTGTGCATAGACTTAGGCCCCATCCCTGCTGGGTGAGCTACCCCATTATACAGGTTCTGTATACAGGTACTCCTCGACTTATTACATACCCGACTTACGACAACCCGGACATATGACCGCCGTGGTCATATAAAATACTTTTCAAATTACGTATTTTCTAGTACCGACGTTAGTGATCGTGCTGTGTACTGACAAAATTTTCGTTTGTAATTCCCTTTAAAATGGCTGCCAAGCGTAAAAGTGAATTTCTATGTTTTATTTTCGCCTTTTCGACTTACAACCTGGTCGTCGGGACGGAACCCCGTCGTAGATCGAGGAGAGACTGTACAGGATATAGGTATTCCAAAATCCCAAAATATCCCAAATCCGAGACCCTCAAGACCCCAAGGATTTCGGATATGGGATACCCAACCTGTACGATTGTAGTGCATTTATCACCACTTAATAATTAATATTGTAGTGTACAATATTGTGTATCTGCATGTACCCTGGTTTCATTAATCATTTGTCTAAGTGTACAAGTAGCCAAAATGAGCCATCATATAACACTCAAAGGTAGTAAATAACGTTGTTTGGAAGGTATCTTCATATAGTGATATAGTGACCCCTGTTGGAAGCTGGTTTGCTGAAAGCTGTCACACGAACGCATCTTGAGTAAATAACGGACTGATACAGCTCATCCTTTTATTTTCAAGTCATATTACAAATTTCATACAGTATTGTATTTTTTCTCTATTACCGAAGATGTTATATTAATCATGAACCATACACCAAAAGAGGCCAATTATATGAGAATATAATACTGAATCAATAAATAAATAAATCTGATGAATGCAGCAACACCTGATCAGCTCCAGCCAGCTTACATACTCAAGTGTCTTAGTTCTCAGTAGGCCTATAGCAAATCTGATTAGACCACTGTACAGTATTCATTATGTGTGGTTATTTTCATAAATTTTTTTTTATTAGTCTTCTCCATTACTTAAAACATTTTTTTTTAGATGTATTTCTGGGGACCAGAAAGCGAATTCCAATATATTGAAGTCCAATTTATCGAGGTTTCACTGTACAGTACTTTCATACATGAGCATTTATACCCTGCCTCAAATATGAAAAGGGCAATTAATTATTTTTATCCACTTAACTGTGTATGGGGTCCCATTTTGAACTGAATAAAATCGTCTGGCATTAGCCAAATAACTGTAGTGAAGAGGTTAATGAGTAACACAGCATCATATGAAAATTAAATAAATGTGACCTATACAGTATTTATGTGATATTTAACCTTGGTTAAATTTGTATTTAATCTTTTGATCCATTTTTTCCAGTCAAAGTGTAAAGCAGAGCATTTATGCACTTGAGTACATTTCTAGCTGCAAATGCAAATCTCATATTTTCATTCCCTATTACTGATAATTTCTGCCAAAATCTTCATCTCTGCCATTTATTGTTTATAGCAGGACTTCAAGTAATTGGTGAACAACTTACTCCCCAACAAATCCTGCACCTTTATAAGTTTTTCCATTGAGCTACAGTACAGGTATCTCTGAAAAAATTTGCTCATGGATGGTTGGATGGATACATTGACAGAATACATGGATGCTTAGCGAGTACCAATTCCCATAATCATGATTTGGCTGAAGGACCCAGAGAGCGATAATAAACTTTTCATAAAGAGACTAAGTATCAGAAATCTTAAGACCGTTAATTTTACACAAATCAAAGGATAAATTTAAATATTCAATCATATTTTAAGAATAAACATGAAAGGGACAAAAAGCTCACCATAATGAGGTTCAAAGAATTCTGCTGGGGCAGCAAAGAAGTCATGAAGCTTGAAGTCATTCTCTCGAAGGGTAAAACCAAAGCCTTTTGCATCACAAAATCCATTGGAATCAGTCTTTCGACGCCATAAAACATATTCTGAGAAACCTCCAGGAGCTGCACACACATCAGCAAAATACAGTAAATCTTCTGGTCCAACAAGAGACTCCTGGAACAGACAGGAAAAAACATAATCATACAAGAAAATCTTCAAATTTTTACATAAAAACTAGGCCTAAATAAACAAAAACTGTTATCTAAACACAGAATACAGTACAGTAAAACCTCGATTAACTGACCCTCAATTAACCGACATTCGGATTAACCGTCAATCCCGAACTCCTAATTTTTTTTTTACGGGGATTAGCCCACCCGGGCACAGATCACTGACCCACATCGGGGCCTGGGGAGGCGATAATGTAATAATAATAATACTGATAATGATAATAATAATAATAATAGTAATAAAGAACCATAAAGAAATGCAAAAATTAAAAAAAAATCAAGAGTGAGAAACAATATATGTATGTTGTGTTGTCAATAGTAAGAGAAGCAATTGAGACCCTGCAAGTGTGTGTAAATGAGGTAGAAAGTCAGATCAGCAACCTGGGACTTGGTCACAATTTTTGTGATGACATATGTTCTTTGACTTTAACATTTTTTATTCACGGTTTCTGTGCTGGTTCATATTTATTTACTTAAGTGGTTAATGTTTTAAAGCAAATTCAATTGAAATATGAATGGCAAATGAACAAAAATGAATAGAGGGAATTAAATGAGGTAGGTTCGGGAAAGGTACTTTGAAAATGTATGTATTATTTCCGTAGACTTTATGTACTATTAACCGATCTTTTGGATTATCCGTCGGCCCCCTTCCCCCCATTATGTGGTCGGTTAATCGAGGTTTTACTGTATATACATAAATCTATATTTTTCGGTAGAGTACCAAAGTTAGTCCTTATTTCTGTGACCTGGAGACTCGACTTAACTCGTAAGACTTGCCTCTCTAGACTTGTGACTTGACTTGAGACTTGTAATAATCTGACTTGCGACTTGCTCTAAGAATAACTTCTTTTTCCTTCATGTTACCTTCTATGTAAATTTGCTACCCGAGTTTATCAGTTAATTCAAGTATAATACTTCTGATAAACTTCCTACGTGCTTATGTTTGAAATAATGAAGGTATGTATCTTTATATAATTTAGTTAAATATCTTTCTCGTCAGAAAAGATCATCCCAACGATTATGAATAAACTCATTTTGAGATACATCATGACTTCAGGACGAAATCGGACTGGTTTGCAACAGCCAATCAGCTGTAACTCTTGAGGAGGGGGCAGGGCATTTTTTTCAGCTGAAAAAACACTTGCTATAGTGTAACAGAGGTGGAGTAAGAGGGAAAGGCAGACTCACGAGGACAGAGAACCTGGTGTAACAGTGGTGGAGTAAGAGTGTGAAGCAGACTCAACCAAATTAGGGATGAATAAGGATTAATGTACCTAAACTGTTACAAATTCAGTTTCAGAGCTTTAAAACATAGTACAATACTAAAGCACAATGTGAATGAAAATAAAACTTGTATATCTGTAATGACTAGAGAGTGAACTTGCAACTTGTCAAAAGACCCAAAACTTGACTTTTCACTAATTGAAAAAGACTCAAAGTTTAACTTGAGACTCACCAATAAATACTTTAGAAGTGACTTGAGACTTGTCAATAACGACTCAAGACTTGGGCAGAGAATTGGCAAAAATGTCTTGTAGACATGTCTTTTATATACTGTATATAAATATGTATTAATATTAGTACAGTACTGTATACTGAAAAGAATCTTTTTTTTAACAATGAAAGGGTGTCAAAATTCATCATTTAAATAATACTCTCAACAAATAGGTACATTTTGAAACTCTGGCATGGCATAGGTCCTGAGGAGCCTGGATATTAATGAGCTTACTGCAAAAAAAAAATTCTCGTCACTGCACTTACAGTATATATACAGTACAGTATATATATATATATTTACCCCAGCTTCATTTTTGGGCCTTGTAAACATATAATCAAACACAGCATCCATGTTTGCCATTTTCAATGCAGCTCTATTTTGAAAAAAAAGTTTTCCAAGAGTTTCAAATGGATTACTTCGTGATCGACCTCTCTGTAGTTCCTTCCCATCAAGCTGATCGAATACACTCTGTAAGGAAAATAAAACATCAATATGAATACTAAAAATATTTACTGTGGATGTAGATGTACAGTTGTCCCCAGATAATATACAGGGTAAGGTTCCTAGAAAGAAAGACAATGTCTCCTATAGCATCGAGGGATTTTTGAGGATGGACATGCTGTTGAAGGCCTGTGTGAAGGAACAAGGTATGCGAGACAGTGTTGTGGCAGAGACATACCAGACCAGTTATTAACATACAAAGAATGAACTAATGACCGAATAAATAGGGTCTGAATGTGGCTGTATTTTTTCTTGATTTCAGTGATAATACACTATAGAGGAAAGAGGTTTAAAAGTTGAGATAAAATCTTATCTTGCTGAACTTATTCCTCTAGTAGGTACACTATAAGCTCTGACATGACTACTGTACTAATGTCGACCCTCAATATGCCACAACTCAATTTATCAATATTGTTTTTTTCGTGGCACCTTAAATCACTCGTAATTTTTATCTTAAGGTCATACTCCTTAATTTTGAACTGTAATCCCAGAAAAATTACACTACAGTAAAGGCACCAATGTTTACTCACTTGACAATAATTGTTCACAGTGTATTATATTTTATTATACCCTACAGTACAATGAGGAAAAAGATTAAGGAGAGCCAAACAGATGCTGCTACATCTGGTGGTATTAAGAAGATAAGGCATGCTATTACTTTCGATGAGAAAAACAAAATAACCCCCTTCAAAATCCCCTAATAGCTACCCTTATACCTCCTAACAATTATTTATCTTCACATTTGTACAGTAACTATTCTTCATGTCCAGTGTATTAATCGATAAAATAATTCAAGGTAAGAAAACCAGATACAGGTATTAACATAACTTTCTTACTGTAGAGTTAGCAGGAATTATTCTGAAGGCAATACTGTAGAGTATATACCTTATACCTGTCAGTCATGGTCAGTTCATGTTGGTTAGTCAAGGAGTGTACATCTATGATCTACCGAGCAAGTTTTTTCCACTTGTTTTTCCATCATTGCCGTGTTTGAGTTATTATATCTGATAACCTTGGACCAAGCACCTAGATCTGATATTGTACTTAGAAACGTTTAAATTTAAATTGGGACAGATAACGTAAAAGTACAGTCTTTTTCCCCTCGGGAGGTCTCCCTCGTATTTCATAAAATCTCATAATTCGTAAGGGCTAGATCAACCCATTATTTTGAATTATGGGGATTTTACTGTAATATTGTAATTCTAAACTCATCCTTGTAATATATTGAGGGTCTACTGTTTATGTCTGAGTGAAACATATTGTACACATATGTCAAAAGGCTGCATGGAAAATAACATTTTACACATACTTTTGCTGCAAGTACACCCTCAAGAATTTTGACTTCACAGAAATTTGTCTCATCAGATATATCTTGTTTTTTCTTGTCATCTCGGGACCATAAAAGGAGGGTGTCATAATCTGGAGGGGTGTCTGGGCAGTGTGGCAGCCACAATATTTCTTCTTCAACTTGGACACTCTGCAAAATAACATTTTAAAATATCAATACAGAATATGACACTACGTCTTTTAAATCTTGCTCTTTTATATAAGGCTCATACATATTACATTAAATACATCAGTACAAAAGTAGACTATGATTCTAAAAATTAAAAGTACCTGTAATTAGGGTTATAATGTATATACAGTATTGTGTATATGGTAATATCATGGTATATACAGTACAGTAGACAACCTGGCAATGTTTGATTTCCATTTTAACTTAATTTAGAACAATTCCTCAACATTTTTTTTATATACTGTATATCCTCTTACATATAATTTAACATCTTCATAAGGCATAAGGCTATGCTGTAAAATCAACATTTCTTCTTCTACAACAAATTTGCACTTATCTTCTTGAAAAAACAAAACATGTACTTCTTAAAAAACTTAAATGCCTTCTTCATTACTAACCTCTAGATTGGTGTCCCAGTCCAGGTTGGTGGATGCCTCAAGACCTTCTAAGCGAAGACCCAGACCTCTGCGACCTCTCTGCTTACTAGCTTCAACAGGGTCTACAAGACCTTGACCATACTTACCCAAGCCTTTGCCTTCTTGGTAACCCATATTTTTCTGGAAAAGGTATTAGCACTTCAGAGAGGATGTTAGCAAACTTTAAATATACATCATAAAAGGTCGATATAAATATGTGCTTACATACGTGCTGTCTGGGGGGAGTTAAAACGCTCAGGGGAACCAATCAGCTATTTGTAGTTACATGTACTGTATAGGCTTGGAAAGGGTATATATCTTTATTTACATCTAAAATCACTTAATTTAAGACAAAAGAAGAAATAAAATGACAAAATACAGTAAATGAAAGTAAAAAATAAGTCATCAGGTAAATAAAATACATTACTGTAAATTTCAAGTTTAACCCAGTTCGTATCGGTAGGCGTTCATAAGCGGGACGTTCTTAAGTCGGGGACCCCCTGTATTAGTAAGGGTCACTGCCTTATGACTGGAACATTGTGGACCCCTGCTGTCCCCTCGGGACTTGATCTCACTCTCCTCTACTGTATATATTAGCCTTCTAAAGTATTTCTCCTTATTCTGTACTCACACCTGAAGATGTGAATTACAAGAAAGCGCAAGGGAACTTAGTGTTTTCTTGTTTCCTTGTGGTTATCAGCATATACTTGGATCACGCGCACCTACAGTGATTTACTTGTGTGTGAGTGTATATATATATATATATATATATATATATATATATATATATATATATATATATATATATATATATATATATATATATATATATATATATATATATATATATATATATATATATATATATACAGTCCCCGAGTCACGACCGTCCAACATACGATCATCCGCACTCACGAAAGGGATCCCAATACATTCATTGCCAAAATTTCTAATTAAAATCCCTTTTATTTTTATTATTTTCATTAATTTATATTGTTTAAAATCACTTTATTTACATTATATGTTATGTATGGGATATCAATGTTGTTTTTTTTATGTGCTGGGTAATGCTTTAACCTAACCTAACCTTTGTTATTAACACTGTTCTGACTTATGAACAAATCGACCTATGGTCAGGGTCCACAAAAGTAACCCTGTCGTAAGTTGGGGAATACGTACGTGTGTGTGTGTGTGTGTGTGTGTGTGTGTGTGTGTGTGTGTACTTGGCTTGGGGATTACTGGCCACTTCGCCTTTGGGCTATATATATCTTATCCACGCCATTGGGGCCGGAAATATAATAATAATAATAATAATAATAATAATAATAATAATAATAATAATAATAATAATAATAATAATACTGTAATAATAATAATAATAATAATAATAATAATAATAATAATAATACTGTAATAATAATTCATAGTAAATAAAATTTATACTGTAATAATAAATTCACAAAAATAAAATAATAAAATAATAATGATAACGATAATAAAAATAACAATAATAATAATAATAATAATAATAATAATAAATAATAATAAAGAAATACAAGAATGAATAAAAGATCAAAAGTGAGAAACACGACCAAGACCTATGGATTATTATTATTTCTGTACTACATTCCCCCCCCCCCAGACCCCAATGTGGGTTGGTGATCTGTGCCCGGGTGGGCTGATCCCTGTGTATAAAAAAAAAACAAAAAAAACACACACACACACTAACTAACTAACCATTCCGAAATCCGAAACACATCTGGCCCCAAGGATTTCGGATAAGGGATTGTCAACCAACTGTATATAAGTTTGGCACATTTTGGGTCAACAGTAATGCTACTGTACTGGGCTTCAAAACATATTCCACAGCCCATCAGATACAACCATTAATGGTTTGGATCTCCAGTAAGTGGAGCAGTTGTATCATCTACTGTACAGTATTGGTAAAATGGTTCTTGTGATTAAAACAATAAAAGAAGATAACTTCATGTTTAACACCATTCTTTAAACAATTGATTAGATACTTACCATCATACGCTGGGCAAAGCTGCTATAACTACTGTTGTTGGCTGCACTACTTGACACTTTGGTTTCCTCTGTGGATGTTTTTGTGTTTCCCCAACCACCTCCGCCATCTTCATTATCTGAGGATTCTCTGTCATCTAGATCAATGCTCAGGCGTGATCGTTTCCTACCTCCTAAAGAAAAACATGAGGTCTCTTCTTCAGATGCTGAGGAATCTGTGAAGAAAAGAAAAAAATTAATGTTAAGAGGACAATACAGTACAGTAAAGCATTTAAATGAGTCAATTTCTCAGATATCCTGCTTTCAATTGTTTTTAACCAAACTTCCCTATAATAAGAGGAAAAAAAGCCGGTTTTTCCTAAAAACCAGTTTTCAATCTCTCATCTGCATACTTACAGTATATGTATCAATAGGAGTCATTCCTGAAATTCTAAAACAAATTCATCAAACATTTTTTCAGATGTGGCTTTTCACGCCAAACATTTTAAAAACTGAACTTAATACAGTAGTGTACCAGTGAATGAAAAACTAAACACCCCTAGAAAAGCCTGCCATAGTACAGGGTTCTGATTGTCTAGCAGCAGATTACAATGACTGGCTTTATAGATCAGTGATGGCTGCAAAGCATCTCCTCACCTATCAAACCAAGGTCAAATAAATTGTTTTATACAGTAAACCCTCGATAACTCAGCACACATGGGGCTCTGGCCTTGCTGAGTTATCCAAAATTCCGGCTTATCGAGGCACTTCCCCCCTTCCTACAAAAATACAACAATAAAAAATTATTGACCCATACCCGGTATATGTGTACATGTAATTACTAAATGTAAAAAATGAACACTTACCAGCACTGCAGGTTGAAGAATGAAGCATCATAGTAAGTGATATAGATGCATGGTAGGTGACACCACGGTAGGTGACACAGAGGCACGGTAGGTGATGCAGGCAGCCAGACATGCCGAGATTTTCCCAGATAACTTTACATATCTTGGCATTTCCCCAGTTATACTATAATACATTCCGAGACCATATCCATGCCAAGCTGTATGAAATTCCAAGTTCTCAAATGCCGAGTTATCGAGGGTTTACTGTATTCTTAATGCAACTTGTTGTTTAAAACCCAGTGAAGCTTCAAGTTCAATGGGGAAACCCTGTTAACCAAATGACTGGATCATTTTCATCTCAAATTCCATACAGACAAATATAGGGGCTCTGGGTCTCAACCCTCTCATTTTCCATATATATATATATATATATATATATATATATATATATATATATATATATATATATATATATATATATATATATATATATATATATATATATATATATATATATATATATATATATATATATATATATATATATATATATATATATATATATATATATATATATATATATATATATATATATATATATATATACTGTATATATATATATATATATATATATATATATATATATATATATATATATATATATATATATATATATATATATATATATGAAACATTTTACGTACAGTACAATGAAAATTTCTTCCTATATGTATAGTATAAAAATTTCTTTGGACCTCTAAAGCCATTTCACTCATAATGTTGTATTATTGAGGTCAGAGGTGTGCACTTGGCTCAGGAACAGGGAGTGGGGGAGGGGGGGGGAAGGGAACGAAGAGGGATGCTCAGTCCACCACCCAACTACCCTGCTTCCCACAAATAATTCACTTACTATTAATAACCCATAGATGGTCAATTAATTTAACCTAGGTTGTGCCCAGATGGTCAAAGATTTTCCACATTCTCTTTGTTGGTTAAAGCAACCTCAAAGGACCCCCAAGTCACATGGTATCAGTGATAAGCACACCTATAAGCTCCTTGCATGGCTTAAAGGTCCCAGGCAGTCAAGCGTTGCCATGCACGCAGTTTCATTTTCACTTTTGATATGCATTCACAAACCTTTGAGCATTCTGGGAAAGTCATTATTTTGGAGGAAATGACAAAAATTAAAATAGATTGAAATAATAGCCCAATTATGATTTTCCTGCTTCCCCTTCGGCCATGGTTGCGTGAAGTCATACCAACATTGGCCAATCACCATGCGCCTTTTAAAAATAGAAAAATGTATCACCTCATCATCCACAGGTTAGGTTAGGTTAGGTTAGGTCCCCTCCTTTCCCCCACCCAAAACTCCCAATTCCCCATGGGTTTCCCTATACCTGCACAGTCTCTCCTCGACTTACGACAACCCGGACATACGGCGGCCATGGTCGTATAAAATATTTTTCACATTACGTATTTTTGAGTCCTGACGTTTGTGATCACGCTGTGTACTGACAAAATTTTTGTTTGTATTATGGCTGGCAAGCGTAAAAGTGAGAGTTCTCGTGGTGCTGAGAAGAAAAAGAGACACCCATTTTAGAATTTTTATGTATTATTTTCGCATTTTCGACTTACGACTTGGTCGTCGGGACGGAACCCCGTCGTAAGTCGAGGAGAGACTGTAGTTGTTGACCAATTGTCACTTCCTCAAAAATGGGGATATTCCCAAGAAAATGAAGATTACGTTTGAACAAAACACACAAAAAAGCACAAGAAAAATATATTTTTGAATAAAAATCAAAGGAGTTAGTAAAACAAATCTTTACCTAGTTTTCTTCATTTTATTGCTTATATATTAAAGATTGTAACAATAAAAAAAATGGAAATAATTTTACTTTAAAACAATAATTACATGTGTAATATTTTAGGTTAGATTTTGTAGGTGAATTTTCTTCATATTATGAATGATGAATTATAGAATGTAGCTGTATCTAATAAAATAAACTCAGTAAAAAAACCATCATTCAATCACAAAAAGTAAAGATGGTGCAAAGAGGCAGCTCCTCCCGAGACAGAAAACGTAAAAGATTATAAAACTTAAATTTTGTAAATGCATTCTTCCTGCCTTTTCTGTCAATTTATTGAGATAAGAAGGCATCTGTCTTCTTTGGAGAAATTTCCGCATGTTGGTGCTAAGGCCGGAACACTCAACAAGTATTACCACTGTACACTATTACTGATACTTAAGGTTAGGTTAGGTTTTTATACTTTCATATTTGAAGAGTTTGCACAAATAATTAAGGACGCATTAAACAAATAGAAATGCCATGCATTAGAAACATAAAATTAACCACATAATACAAGCACGCTTAAATCATAAAATTACATATACTTTCAGTATGTATAAGCATGCTAACCCAATGTGACAAATTTTACTGAATAAATATTGATCTAACTACCTCTGTGATCAGGTGTATGCTCCCAATACACTCCTTAGGGAATGATCTTTCACAGCCTTTGACTATATATTCCTCTACTGCCTCCCACTTCAAAACTCAAATAGTTGGCTAGAAGATAAATGCCGTGCTTCACACACCAAAGCTTCCTTACTATTAGCCTGTTTCCATTAAGAACTACCAAGATCACTTGAGGCTGTGCAGGAGAAGTGTCACGAATCCCACTTACCTGATTCACTGAGTGTGTGTTTTTCACACCTCTTATCCATTTTGAGGCTTCTCTTTCGTCAAGTTGTGTTGTTATAAGCTGTATCATAAGTCATGGGGTTCACTATCACTATCACCAGCCGCTGTGTTTATAATATCCAAACAACCGATGGCGGTCGGTTATAACACGAGACTCGCCACACTCGGTCTTCCTGAATTATAATCATTTGCAGTGATAGTGTAACATATCCCTCAGGAATATTGTCAAATAAAATTTAGTATTTCTTCCAATATTTAAGATACCGAAAATTGCTGATAGTAAATAATTGTTTTTTGTTATTATTAATGATCAAAACTTCAAGAAGTACTGAATGAAAACTTTTATGAAATTGTAGTACAGTGTGTACTTGTTTTGTACAAGATAATTTCATCTTCATCTAATTAATATCTAATGTGAAATTAGAGTTACATATTTTTATGATGTTTATTTCGAATCTGCTGTACGTGATATAATTGATACATGGCAGGGAATTACACGTGCGCTTGTTTATGTGATTCTGAAAAAAAGTTACATACTTTACTTTTATCTTCTTCACCAAATGATCGACTCGTTAGTCGCTTGGGCGGTCGGTCACGTCTCTGTTACACTGTTGGCAAGTACTGGGCATGCACCGGCTCCTGAATGTACCTGAACCTGTTCCAGTGTTGGTCAAGTCTTGTCTTGAAAGAGCTCACACTCGGTGCCGTCACAACACTTTCTGGCAGATTGTCCCAAGCATTCACAACTCTCACTCCGAAAAAGTTTGCCCTCAAAGTTTTCTGGACTTGAGGCTTCTTCAACCTTGAGCTGTGACCCCTTGTGGGGTTGCATATACTGTACTTCCATAATTCAGCAAAGATTTATAATCGGAATGTAAGTACCGTTGTGCACTGCTTTGAGCTATTGTCACATGACATATTGGAATCCAGGTAAAAAACTCACAGGTAAAAAAGAAAAGTTAACCAGTGGCGGCTCGTGCATAGGGCTGCAGTCCCCCCAGACACTCACTGCCAGGCGTATGATTCCTTTAGAGAGACAGCTGAATAATACACTACCAAAAAATATATCATTTTATATGTTATTTAATTATTTTCAATACGTTGCTAAGTGAATTTTCATTAAAATCAGACCAAAATTTAAGTTACTTTCATAGTTGCTGTCAATGCTGTACGATTCATGTCTGTTATTAATTGGCGCCGCCGCCGCTGCACTTGAAGCAGCTCAGTCTCGTACAACGTGTGGACGGTGTGGTTAAATCGTGCTTTCTTTAATTACCCTTTGACGATGGAAAATCGAGTGAAGTATTTGCAAAACATCAACTTTTCCCAGCTGACATTAAATGAAAAGACTGAAATCAAAGCAAGAGGAAGACCTACACCAGTTTTATCCATTCAACAGAACAGTACAAGCAGGAACAAAGAATATACACGCCAGTTTAACATGAGTGTTTATGGCTCTGTGGTTGTGACGAGGCAAATACTTTATTCTGCTTTCCATGCTTATTGTTTGGTGGGGACTCGGCAGTGGTGTGACTGACTTGAGGCATTTGCCACAGAAAATAGTGAAACATGAGCAGTCAGCCAAACATATGAATAACATGATTAATTTATCGTTGCCCTGGGAATTCGTGGACATCAACTACAACTCATACCTGAGGTAGGTCAAATTTGTGTATCCTACTGTTGTGTGAGGCTTGCAGTCCCTCCATTTTATTTTTCACGAGCCGCCACTGAAGTTATCGAATTCTCACATTTTTTAAGGTTACTATGTCAACCTAACCTAACCTAGCCTAGCCTAGCCTTTATTACCGGCCACCATAAATTAATTGTGACTTTTTATCCTGTGACTTTTTTCCTAGCCAAAATTGTGACTTTTTTCTGAGACTTTTTTTCCTGTGACACTATTACCGGCCACCGACATATTGTACACTAATTTAAATGAATTTTTGTTGTGATGCAAAATGTCTCGTATAGTTCGGCATAACCTGTAGCTAAACTTTGATCCCTGTAAAATGGCCAAACAGAACTAGGCTTTCAAGTGCCAGGACTTAACGAACACGTCTCTAGGATTCTTTCTATGCTTTCACCGTTCCATTTATCACCTTCCAACTTCCCCGCGCAGGTCCATCATAGTTCCAGGTAGGTCTTCATAAAATTCGGCGAGATCGTGGATTTGTTGACGTGCTTTAAGAGAAGTTTCTGCAGGCGTAACACTGCCATTCCCGGTACTGTTAATATTACTCATCCTCTTCTTTCACATAAGACCCAACTTTCCTCTTCCCTGGTAAATTCTAACACATGCTTAGAGAGAGACCACGAGACCTGATTGTTACGGTAAACAAGAAACATAAGCACTGCTTCACCCACTTACCACCAACTCTTGTGGCTGCTTTCACTTGTATCTGATCTGTGATTTACCACCTACATTTTATCAAGTGACTGCTGTTGTACTGAGGCGTTATTTTACGTTTTATTGTCTCTAATATTTCTTGATCAGAGAACTCGTAGCAACCCCGGGGGTTAATCTGGACTAGGCTGTTTTACACTCCCCAGGCCACATTATATCCCGTACAGTTTTAACAGTCACAAATTGTGACGGAGGTTTTAACACTAAGCGTCTGAAGGATTCAGCGGTAGCACATGCTTTCAGAGAGCAGCTCGAACATTTTCTTCTAAAATGTATTTTACAAAATTTACATATTGAAGCTCCTCCTGAAAGTTAAGGATATTATTACCGATTACTGAATGATATGAATGTTTCAGGTAATTGTTAAATGGCCATTTCAGGGGTTCGGGATTGGCACAAAACTGTTTTTGGGCCCTGCGTGTTTGAGACGTTTATAATGTGTGTTGGGTCCAAAAATCAGCATCATACCAGCTCCGAACTGAACAATGCATTATGGTCAGCTCCGATGTTCAGAGTTTTGAAGACATTGATTTCTGTACCCAAAGAAACAATATAAACGTCTCATTTATACAAACATGCTCCAACTTTATCATGTAAACTCTTGAACCAAGAACTGGCCTTTTAACGTGGGGAGTTTGTAGGTGACGGTGGTAGGGGCAAGCAGTAGAGCAAACGAGCGGGCTGGATCTTCACAATATCTACTTTAACAGGTTACGTGTCAAGTGGAGGTTCACCCACGCTTGCCTCCTTCCTCGCAGGTGTATACCTCAGCAGAGAGAGGTCGGGAGCCATTAGCTGCTGGCCAAGACCTCCTAGATCCCCGGGTAGTGACGCTTGTTTTTATTCACATGAGGGAGTATTGCACCTCTGTTTATATCTTAGCGGCGCTGGAGACTGGTGGCGTGTAAGGGGCCCTCGGTTTCTACTGTTTTCGTCTTAAATAATCATAACATTCTGGTAAGAATACAGACACTGCGTAAATAAGATAACACATAATTTAATTTGGTTAATTGGTTCGTAAAGTGTTGGTTCCTCACGTAGAATGATTCAATTCAGTTTAATGGCGATGACAGAAAACATTTTAAAATAAGATAAATCTCTTTGTTCTCTTATCCTTTACTATGATCCATTTCACATTAGTTAATTAATGGAAGCCACCACCACTAATGAGTTATTATAAATGCCTCCTTATCTTGTCCTGGCCATTAGGATGAGCGTGTGTGTGTTGTGGGTGCGTGTGGATGTAAGTTGGAAATGTGCGGGTGCGTGTGTGCGTATGTGTATGTATGCATTTGTGTGTGTGGGACTGTGGGTGTAATTACGCATATACATATTTGCGCCTATCTGTGTGTGTGTGTGTGTGTGTGTGTGCATTCAAATACGTGTACCTTTTAGATCACATGAGTAAGGTATTCCAAATGGTAGTCTACAAACAACTGTCCCCTCTCTGATAAACAAACTTTAGAGACGCGACGACCTCTAGAGAAGCTTTGTTTTGGGATGGCTGCGATGACACTCGGCTCGGGTACAGTCCTGTTGTATCGCTCTCTCACACTTTGCTGGCCTTTGGCTCCATTACCAGGGAGAGTTCAGCCACCAGTAATGAGACGCCAAAAGTCCGTCAGATTTTCCTTACAGTTTTCAATTACGTTTTCAATTTGATTTCATTATCCAGGTCTGAAATCTTTTTCTCATTTTCGTTCTTTGACTATCTTTCTCTTTTAAACTATTAATTTTATCTTGGAATCTCTCCCTGACACTTTCTCTTTTTAATTATCTCTCTCTTATGGCCTCTATGTTTCTTTTTGTTGGTCTCTCGTTCTATTTCCTTGGCTCTCTCTTTCTTTGACTCTTTTCTCTCTCCCTCTCTCTACTGACATACATCACACACCTTAATTCTCAAGAGTTGTCTGCCGGTCTGTAATCTTTGGATATATACCATAAAGGGTGACCCACATCAAGTCCTTCTCAACAACACGCCTACGTCAAGATCCTCTCAGCACTACGCCTACGTCAAGATTCTCTCAGCACCACGCCCACACCATACACTGACAATGTGCACCCCAAAGGCCACACCCACAGACTGACCACGCCCACCGCCTAACTACTCACAACGACAGATAACTAACAAGATAATCTGCCTTGGTATACTGACCTATCTCGCTCCTCCCTCGTCTCTCTTATTCTACCGCGACCTTACTTAAATGCTAGACGGCCTTACTTACTGTATGTGTGATGTTAATTACTTATTACTTAACTATCTTGCTTACTTGATCCTGGTTACACTTACTTTTTACTCAGCCCCCCGGTTAGGAGGTTAGGTTAGGTAATTTGAAGTCATTTGCGAGGGAAACGTCATATAAGTGTCTTAAAATTGTCTAAACCATCGGAAAAACACATTGCTCAACTCGAGAGCCATATTGGTTGAAAATGTAAACTTACCAAAAATAGTTTTATTTGATTACTATAACTTTGCAAAAGCATACCTCAAAATAATATATCCTAGTGGAAGACGAAGTTCTGGAGAGAAGAATAATTATAACCAAATCAGTATTCAGCGTTGAAACTACCGCTAATTTAATAATGTACATGTAACATGTAACACACATGTAACGTGATCTATATTTTGCTGATATACTAAAATATCATGTTTTAAATATACTGTACAAGGTGATGGTATGATGAAATAAAAATACAAACATTAAAAA